TATATTTTTGTGTTCATGTTATAATGTGCTAAAAGGAGTTAAAACAAAGTTACTTTTTTAATTGTAATTTAATATAATATATTTTTCAAGTGGACTGTGTCACCGCCGCATTTCACCGAGTTCGTCTCATGGCACTAATTGTCATGCTAATGTAAACACGGATTATCACATTCCCCACGAAAGGTGTTAATTTCTTTGAAGTAACTCAGGTGTGGCCGGATTAGAGGGAATAATTAATGTTAATTAAGAGCAGTTGGGACCAGTATGGCCGTTCGGAATACAGAATAGACAGTATCCGGACTACACAGAATTTTTTAAAATGAATTTGTTAAAGAAGTGCATGGGACTAAAATTTACGGACGGAATGGACAAAAGTCCGGAGTACTCAGAGTCCGGATTAGACAAATTTTACTGTATATATATATATATATATATATATATATATGTGTGTGTGTGTGTCTGTTTATATATATTTAAGCATTGAATTCATATTTTTGGATGTCTTCGGTCCTATAACACACCTGGCCGGGCCGACAAATTGAATACCGCGCGTTAGCGCGATATGATAAATTTATCAGCAAGGCCAAGTGTGTTATAGGACCGAAGACAGCCAAAAATATGAATTCAATGCTTATATTTACATTCTTTAATTTTCCTTCTTCGTAATTGCTTATTTCGTTAACATTTAATGAGAATCTAGTGCCCTTCAAAACTATCGTGGTTAATAGACGTAAGAGCCGTCTGTGACGTCAGATGACGTCAAGTGACATTGCAAAGTTAAATTACGCAATCAAACAATGCGATTAAAAAAGTGACGAATTAATTCTTAATGCACATTACGTTAATTTCTAGGTTGATTTTTCAGGGTTGTAGTTTTTCATTAAATTGAAATAAAACATTTTACATTTTGGTGTTTCTAGATGATTGAAATTGCATATAGTGCTTACTTTGTATTCTAACGCGCAGTGACAAGGTTTCGCGCGTGTTATAGAAATTAGAACGTCTCGGACTTCTATTGGATTTGATAAGGAAAATTACACTGAATGTAAATATATATATATATATATATATATATATATATATATATATATATATATATATATATATATATATATATATATATATATATAGCAAGATAAATGAAATGTACATAGCGCATAAGTCAAATATGCAAAAAAATTGCAATAAGGGGATAAAAATACAGTTGTAACGAGTATAAGGCTCGATGTACAGATTGAGCCACTTAATTAAAAATTTTACAACTAGTACACTGCTTCCCTTTTATGTTTGATTAAATCAACCATGTCATGTGTGACAAAAATACACATCTTATCACCAATGTGGTACAAATGTAAAGGGAATGGAACAAATATACTAGATGCATTAACAAGTTCATGACCCTGTGCAATTTCAGAATGTTGAACAACATGAGCTTGTATGCCAGAGTCAAATCGCAATGTCTCATACATTCGTAATCCAAATACAATTTGTTGTTTAAGAATATCTTCTTCAACTGTGTTGACAATCCATATGTATTGAAGATTTCCAAATTCTGGAAGCCCATCACTTTCACCAAAAGCAATTTCACATTCTTTGGGAATGAATTTTTGTCCATTAAGAATAACCCAGGAAACACTGTATATTTCTTTGATGCAATCAATGCCTGTTCCAAAAAAAGCATTTATTTCTTTCTTTGCTTCTGTAACATTTGATAAAATTGATGATTTTCCAACAATCGTGTCATTATGAAAAAGAGGATGTCTTTCACAAGCATTTAGAGCACATTCATATCTAGCAAAATGATTTGCCAATGATTTTTCGATATTTTTAAAATTCTTAGAACCTGCCATTTTTTGCTTTAAAAACTGATGTTTGTTTTCAAAACGCATGCTCCATACATGTACAAGGGGGCCATATTTCTCAATTGTAGATGGCAAGTGAAGTAAATAGTGTTGCTTAGGAATTATATTGTGATTTGGAAATAATTCTTTAAATTTTCTGCAATGCCTGGAAATAAGAATTTTTAACATTTGTACAGTTTCAATACTAATAACAGGAGCCAAAATAATTTGTACTAATTCACAAAGCTCAGTAATGAATTCAATGTAAGGATTATTAACATCAGAGTTAAGTTTCTCAACTAGAAATACAGGCAGAAAACGAATCAACACTATCATGCTTGATGATGATTGTTTCAGTGTCATTGTATCATCTTCAAAAATCTTTTGAGGCATTATGTTTGGTCGACATTCTCTGTGTTTATAGCCGTATGGAAAATCCTCCAGTACCCTATTTAGCTGTTTCACAGAAAAGACTCCATTCGCAAACAAACTGCGTAAAACTAAACGGGTTTCATAAATAACAACTCCTTCAAATAGAACATGCATTATATCCTCCGGGACCATATTAATGATATTGAAATATGGAAAATCTCGGGCTCTACTACGTTGGTTTATACCATACACCATTGAAAGACGATCTCTAATCCCACCAGTTTGTGCCATATTTATTTCCGTTGTCTGTTGATCGTATCTTTCTAAGGATCGCAATATAAAATCACTTTCTTTGAACTTTGTTTGCATATCATCAAAGGTGCATTCACATTCTCTACATTTTTGGTATGCGAAACCAACTCCTTCTTTGAAACCCGTAAATTCATGGGCGGCTAGTGTGTCACCAACAAGTGCAAGAGTAGCACCCCTTACATTGATTTGATTTCCCATTATCGTGATTGAAATTCCCCTTTCAAGTTCTTTTAAATCTTCATTAATTCTTTTCAAAACTATGTTCATTCCATATTTCTTTAATTTTTTTCTTTTGATGATAGCAACTAGTCGTATTAAGCAAAGTCTTGATCTATATTGAGGAGGAAAATTTGCCAAACTGTAGTAAAAACACCCAACTTGTGTACGCCTGATTTTTTCCCAAGAGGATTACAAATTTCAATGTCATCAAAATATAACAAAATCTGAAGCGCTTGATCTTCCTGGCTAAATATAGGGTGTTCTCTATACACTGACCCATCTGTCAAATTGTGAAGAAAATGTCCATCAAATGGTTGGTTCCTTTGATTTAAAGAAATGTTGAGTATATCTTCATTCTGTAAAAGCTGTTCTATACTGTTATGAATAGGTACATAATAGTAACTTTCTTCCACAACTTCCAATAATCGTCTGCGATTGCGAAGAACAGGTTGAAGCTGCTGACCAAGAATGACCTTCTCTGGTTCCTGCAGGAAACAAATTATATATGCAGCAATTTATATAAAAAAAAATGATAATCACAGAATCAACTTTATATACATGTATGTACTTTTACAGTTATTCGTCTAATAAGTTTATCAAATGAAATAGAAAAAAATGCATATATTAGTAGAAATTTAATGATTTTAACACTTTAGTGCTGAAATGTATATATTTAATGAAAAGCATGCAGCTAAAAGCAGGTACTGTAATTTTACTAGCAAATATACATACTACATAAAAGTAATTCTGGATGATGAATTTGTTTCTTTCATGGAGTGTTTGAATTCCATTAAATGGCAATTCAAAATTGCTAAATTGTTCAACTAGATTTGGAATGGTGTCAGGTTGTATCCCTGCACTTTCAATTGCTGCCATAACTCTACGTTGAAGTATATCAACAGCTCTTTGTACAAAGGCATCAGTGCTGACTGCAATTTGCTGTACAGTTGACTGCAAAAAAGTGTAAGAAAAAAATGATACATACCGTATTGTGGAATCTTTTTTATTTGTGGGGGTCAATGTTTGTGGGTAGACAAATTATAGCAAGCGAAAAAATTCTGATACTTCAGACTTCAGATATCTGGATACTGGAAATGCGACTTGCATACAACGTCATGTGACATCAGATTACAGATGCACCAAATGTCATGTGCAGTTTGATGAGCCAGATATAAATTCATACTGAATCTGCACTCCCCCTTAAGAGTCACGCCGTCAACATAGTAGCCATGCAGGTTATATTTAATATTTTAAAAATATATATTACTTCTTATTTTAGAGTTTTTTTTTTGTATTCAATGAAACTAAATATTCTTTTACGGTACCTCTCTAATTCTTTGAAATTCTTTCAAGTTTGTGATATAATCAATGGCCATATCTTTGGAATTAAAGTCTTTGATATTCTGTGCACCTGTGGTCTGAAAAAACACACATAATTAAAAAAACAGAAAAATACAAATAAATGGATGACAGTTTTTTTTTTAAATCTTTTTTGATATTCGAGATATTTTACATTTAAACATGCCACTTGAATACATATAAACTTTTGCTGCTACACTTTTTTTTAGGAATGCAATTGTGAATTACATGCACAAATTTTAACAGCATTGAGTCCAGTCAAAATTTATACTTACAACATTTGAATTTGCATCATTCACTCTATCAATTTGGTCGTCATCAGATACATTCATACTTTCAAACTCTAAATCAACATAATCTTCGCCGTGATCTATGGTTCCTTGAAAGTAATTGTCTTCATTTTGGAAAGTAACATTTAGACGCTGAGAGTGTTGTCTTTGCACGTGGCGATAAAACGAGTTGAATTTGTTGTACGTCTCTGGGCATCCATCAACATTGCAAGTTACTGAGAAATTTGGACCAGTAGAATGTTCTCTTCTTATGTGTGACAAAAGAATGCGAAGCGTTAATGCAAAATATATCATACAAATAGTACATTTCCATGCCATCTTGTTTACGTTGGTAATGTTTTAGCATTAAGAGTATACCGAGCGCGATTCTAATTCGTATCGCCTAATGAAAATTTTATATAAAATGTTAGTAGCCTATAGTGTCAATGCGTGGATATTTTTATTATATTTTGTGAAATTAAAAATTTTTGTTATTTAATTATATTTAAAATCGAATCGATCATTTATCTGCATTTCATTTACTTAAGTTTTTTATCTCGGGATCGGAAATCTTCCGTTGAGCTCATATCCGTTTCCGTTTACCGCCTTTTCCCAAATATTTCTGACAATGTCTGACGAAATAGAGTGCCTAGAACCAGAAGCTTTGGCCAAATGGTTGAGAGACAAAGGTTTGGATGAAGCAACTACTCAAAAACTTGAAGGTGTGTACAAAGAACTGTGAATATTACTTGTATTGGTTTATCAAATATGGATCAAGTTGAAACATTTTGCATCGTGCATTTGGATGGCACTCCATGGCATGCTAATGGATATTATACTTAAACGAATAACGATTCAGTGCTCCAAGTTGAGCCTTACTTTTAAATCGCTTTTCTAAGTGGCGACCTGCATTTTTTTTTTGGTTGTCATTGTAGAATTTCGGGTCGCCACACAGGTGCTACTTAGAGCACTGCGATTGATTGTTATATTTATCATGCAGTTGCTAAATTTTATAATAATATGTATTTTTCTCGCATTTGACTATTTGTATTTAATTTCTTTATCTACTTTGTAGAGAATATGGTTGATGGAAATATGTTTATGAATCTAAATGATGGGGATTTGAAGGATCTTTTTGATGCCTTTATTGTTAGGAAGAAGATAAGAGATATTCAAATGCAACAGGTATTACAAGATAAAAATGTTTTACTTCTGTATTTAGAATGCTTTTATGTGACTGTAATGATAATTTCATTAAATTATCAGAGAGAACTTAAAGAAGAAGAAATAACACCACCAAAGGCAAAGAAAATGAAATATGAACAACTTCCTGCTCTACCAACACTCTCGGAGCCTTCATCTTCTAAAAAGGTTGCACCGATCAACAGGGCATTGTCTTTACAACCTAAATCTTTCGATGAAAACTCATTTAACACTGTGCCAATTCCAAACTGTGCAGTGCTAGCGAATCCCAAAGAACATTCTGAAAAAGAAGTTGATAATGCCAGAGTGAGAATCATTCGCCTTACAATGGATTCTCTAATTACCAAATGTGCTGACAGACCTACAGAGCTAGAGCTAATTCATCTGGCTAAGTCCATTGCAACACAGTACAGCATTTTGCGAGATGACCGAGGGCTTCCTGTTCGAGATAATTATGTAATGCATGTGAAAACATCCACATCTTGCTGCCTGTGCATGTAAGAATTAGTTAGTTTTAGAGTAGAATTAGTTTAATTGCATATTTTAAACCTGTATGATTCTTAAAAAGATCTCTCTGTAGAAATAAGTGATTTGATGATCATGTAGTTGTGCATGATACAACACTTTATACATGACAAATTCAGATATGATCTTGAAAAGATCATAGAGCAGGACGGTTGCAATTGCCTCCTGGTCTGTAGTCTGTAATAACAGCACAGTGTAAAACCATAGTTATGCACATACTTGTAGTAAAACATGCAAATATTTAAATTTATAGAGACTGTCTGAATTCTATTAATCTTTAAAATGTGCACCTCAGTTTGTCGGAGATGTGCATATAGTTGTAGTTGATAGCTTAACCTAAAAACTATAACCAAGATCTAATGGCATTTAGTTGTCTTAAAAATGATCTTTAGCATAATTATGGGCATGTCAGTGTTTATGTCCCAGAAAAATTTAATACATATACAAGACGTTTCTTGCATTGCAGCAAAAGTAATCTATTTTTGTATCTAACAATTGTGTATCATGCCGATTTTTTTTTCAACAAGGTTATATCAGTTAAGATAAATTTTATAATGCTTTTTGGCTGTTTCACAATCACTCTGAGGAAAAACATCTAAATAAATATTCTAAAAAGTTAAATGTATGCAAGGACATAAATTTTCAGTCATTAATACATAATCTTTTCTTTAATACTAATAGAGAGGAGTGAAAAAGTTTTTGGAGAGGAGGATGTACAATGTGACTCCTGCACGGACCAATAGAGGGAGGAAAAAAACTAAAACTGTGGAGACCACTGTCATCAGTAAGGAAATTAATTGTTCTATAAGTTGTTAAATTTTCTGTTAAACTGTTGTTATTGTCATTTTTCATATATTGTCTTCTCGCAAGTCTTAGTTAATTAGTTAATCGTGCAAGTATTTAAATCAATATTTTTCACTTTTAACTAGGGAAGCTAATCTTGTGGACTTCAGTTTAAAATAAATACAACTTGCTGATTTAATGTTGATCTTTCTTTGTAGCAACTGTACATGTACATGAAACCCAAAGTGCCGAGGAGAAAAAGAGTAGTGAGGAACCTAAAGGTAAGATAACTGCATGTTGGATTGCATATTATCATAATTATTTAACCATTGTGATAACCTAGGTGTTGGAACCTAAGATATATCTCTAAAGTCTTTTATTAAAAGAGGGATACATTTTATGATAATTATAATGATAAAACTTTTGATTATAAAAACCATAAAGTAAATTGTATGAGACAAACTGCAATTGTCTATTGTCCAAATAAAGTTATTGTCATAAGAATATTCATTGATTTTTATTCATGGACTTAACACATATCACTAAAATTATATGCATTTTCTTTTCAGAAAAAGAACAGGAAAATCAAAGTTTTGTGCAAAGTTCTGGGGAGGAAAAGAGTAGCAAGGAACCTAAAGGTATGGTTACTAATCATGAGGTTAACTGAAAAAAGTTTTTGGATATATTTTGGAAGAAGGATATGGAGATAACGAACAGTATTTAATATCAAAGTCCATAAAACTATACAAAATAGGAGCAGGTCAAATACGGGCCTCCGAAACATCAGAGGGGGCATCAGATGCCATGGAGGAGTGAGCACCCCCTGCTGACCGCTCAAACCCACCGTGTGCTCATTGTCATGGCCATGAAATAACGATTAGAATTGACCATATTATATATGATCAAATGCAAACAAAACTGTATTGAGGATTTCTTACCCTGTAGATCATTGTTGTTTTGCTTGAAACAATCTAATTTTATATATTTATAGATTAAAATAAATTTTTCTGGTTTAACTCTGAAGTTAATTTGCAGAAACAGTAGACAGAAACCAACAAACAGAGGCTAAAAAGAATTCGGAGAAACTTACGGGTATGTAATCATTTGTTTATGACTGTATATCATTTGTAACATTATGTATAAAAATATGCATGTTTTATATTGTTTGCAAACATTCTTAGCTTTTTTCGAAACATTTTACACTATTTTTAAGTTTTAAAATGCCAAGTAAATAAGTTTTTGTTTGTGTCATTGTCAGGTGAGAAAACAGAGAATATCAGCACAAAAAGTGTACAGAAACAAAATCCCAGTACTTCTGAGAAGAAAAATTTGCAGATAGTAGGTAAGAAGAACTAAATAATTTTTGTCTCTTTCTAGTATGTGATTTTCTATTTTAAGTCCAATACAAATATACAATGTATTTAGTATTTTGAAGCAACATCATAAAAACTTAATGGCTTGGAAAGGGCTATTGAATTACAAATTGTTTTAATATGCTTAAAATTGGATGAAAATATACATTAAATATTTAAAAAGATTAACAGCTTTTCTTTGGGTTTGAGTAGAGAAGACAGCACAACAATGTTCAAACACGGAGAAGGAGATACCAGACAGGGGCGCTGAAGCTTTGGACTTGGAATTGAGAAAATGTGCATCAACAACAGCAGATCACAAAGTTAAACAGCTTCTGAAAGTCACACTCGATCTACGTAATTCATTAGCCATCGAAATTCCTAAAAATTCAAGAGTGGAGGAAATGCTCTCCAAGTACCCTGTTTTTAAAGGTCCAAAACCTGTAAGTATATTCCATAGTATACTTCTTTTAACTTATGAAATTTGAACTGAGCATGCAAGTGTAGATATCACATATTTTAATGTTCTGTTCCTTTCTCACTTTTTAAGTTGATTGCAAATCTAATGCTCAATTTGGCTGGCAATCTGAAGGAGGAAGAGCTGGCTGAAAATGTGCATCAGTGCAGCCAGGTGATCTTGGACCTCCTGTTTGCAAAAGATCTGTGCACATTTTCAAGGTCTGCGCTGAAAACAGAGGGTAAATGATCTTAATGAATTTTCACTTTTTAATTTCTGCATGTTGCAAGTTTGCATGATAAAGATTTAAATCCTCTTATGGATTTGAGAAATTGACAATTATGAAAAACTTCTTTTGGAAATTTATTTTAATGTTCTGTGTTAATTGCAGCTCAGCAAATAATGGTAGCATTCTCCAACCTTCCTTTGGTGTTCAAAAAAGAAGGAGCAAAAGTTCCTCAAATTGTTCACATTGTCAAGGTAAAAGATAAAATGTAGTTCCATAGATAAAAGTATCTCAAATTCTTTTCATTTTCAATGTAAAATATATCATGCAGTTCCATCGATCTAGATATTTTATAATGTTCGAGTGTCTTTTAAATATTTATTTTGATTTTTCTTTCCCAGAGAGACGAGGCTTTCAAGGACATAGCTTCGAAACACAGGAATCTATGTTCCCCTTGGATTATGTTCCAGAAATTTGGGGGAGAGGAAGTAATTAGTTTAATGATACGCAGCAACATTGTGTGCAAAATTAAAGATCCAAAGACTGCTATCTTGGCACTTATGGGAATCTACTACATGGCCCAGCTTCCTTATCCAGCGGCATGTAGCATGGCCCTCCTTTACATCCAAGGGGATATCTTAAAGGACAAAGGACATGAAGATGATTTGCCTTTGATGAAAAAAGCCGAGGAAGTGTTCAGGAATTTCCTAAGTGAGCAAGATATTTTTGACTGAAATCCATGGAAGTGAATACAACATTATTCAATGGTATACATGTAGTTTGTTTTCTCATGCATGCATGTGCATATTTCTGTTGATTCCATGCATATACATATTTGGACATTTTTCTTTGTATCTACATAAAATGTTTGATGCTTGAAATTTCAACACATTTTTCATTTTTTAAACTTTTTAGTAGGAATAATTTTGTAAACAAATCTGATTACAGATTCAGTTGATCTTTGACACATTTTAATTCAGTATTTTCTCTTTATAGATGCTAAAAATGTTACTTGTAATTCATGTTTTTGACATCCACATGCTTGGGCCAGAACGTCTATTTTTGTAATATCTGATATTAACTTCTTGTGTCAAATGGCATAAATTCATTTTGAGTTTTCACCCTTGAGCAAGGAAATCAATGCATTTGAGCATTTCTTGTTTGTTTGTTTGTTTTGTTTTTTGCATAAAACACTGGATTGTTAAAATGTTTCAAAAATAAAACTGCAACTTGGTACCAGTATTTTGTGTATGTATTTGTTATATATTTTTAAAGCAATTTTATTACTTTTAAGATCTAATTTATGCTTGCCAAGAGTTTTCTGAGAGAAATTGTTAGTAATTTCCAGTAATGTTTTTACTTAAATTGAAAATTTAATTTCTTAATATTACTGAATTTTAATAAATAAATTACTTAAAAATGCTTAAATAGATTACTTAATAATGCTTATAAATTTTAAGTAATTTAAATTATTAGCAATTTATTTACTTACAATAAGTAAACATTTTACTCAAAACCACTTCTGAATTCTTAAATGCTTAGTATTTCAAATACTAAGTAATTAATTTTTTTACTTATTTTTAAGTAAATTAATTACTCGTTACAGTTTCTATAACTATGAAGTTATATTACTTAAAATTACTAATAAATATTATAAATTACTTAACATGATTGCTATGGTGACAAACTTTTTTACTTAAAAATTACTTAAATTAAGTAATTTGATTACTTGATTTGAGTAAAAGTAAGTAATATTTTTTTTGAGTGCATAGGTTATATAACACTTCACTGACCCTGCTCACAGCGCAAGTGAAGTATTGTATGTGAAAACTGACAACGCTGGTAATCGTTTATAGTTGTATTCAGTATTAATCACACAAGACTTACAATATTATAACAAAATGTGCAATCTCTCCTGCAATCTCTCGAGTGCTTGCCTTTGCCTATGTGATAGGATTTGGTTTTAGCCTCAAACCTAGGTACCACTCACGGCACCAATGTAACCGAAATTCGCTTCATGGTATCAATGCAATTTAGGAAATTCCACGATACCATTGTAGCGAAAATGACCGTTTGAAAATACCTCTTTAATATCACACACTTTCTTTATCAATAATAGTACTTCGCGTTTTATTCCAATTTCTTACTAACCAATAAACTTCTTGATTTTCAAGTAGTCACGAAAGTGACTTACTAACCCAAGAATTTTAATAACAAGAGTTTGCAAATTAACAAATATTTATTAAGACAACAATTGAATTTTATTAACAGCACAAAAATATTTACATTTATATATTTACAACGAAAACTGATGTACAAACGACCTTATACTTATGAACCTCAATAAAAATAAGTGCGTACCTAACAAATGTACAATGTCCAGAGCCCGTCCTACCCAAAGCTAAGTCCGAATGAAAGTGACCTACCCCTGCACGAAAAATCTACTATGCCTAACCTAACCGGTTTACCAAAAATAGAAATAAGGAACTGGAAAATGGACGTAAAAATAAGGAAAACAAAAAGGATAATGGTGAACGAATAAACGAGACAGGGACCGGGATCCACCCCTCTAATCAAAAAGTGAGCTGGTACGAACCTTTGAGAAGATTCCAGACCAACTGAAGTATAAGTAAAATAGTGGACTTTAAATACACCGCGATACGGAGGTGTGTCTCTCTTATCCAATCAACAACTGAATTCTATGTATAACTCAGACAAAGACATTTCCCAAACCATACTGTAAATCTAGAGAGTCTCCGAATGTGAAATAAAGATTTTAACCAATCAGAAAATTTGTTGCTGTTAACTTCTTAACTGAATCGACAACGTGTTTGACACAGAAGCGGGAGCAAGAGACCATGCTAAATATCAGTACTTACACTTTGCCATCGATTATCAATGCAAATATTATTAAAAGTTATAAAGACTATAATATTATAAAATCCAATCCTATCAAACTCCCCCCACCTCAAAACCGAAATATCTTGGAAAGATATTGAGGGTAAAAAAAATGACTTTGGAAAAAAAAATGTTAGTACATGTACAATGTATTTGTAATATAGTGACTTCTTTAGATAATACTGAATCTTGTAGAGCCATCAGGGAGAATTTCTAGCTGAGAATCACAGTCCCTGGGGACGCTTACACAACCCTCCTTGAATAAGTTTTCTAAAAGTTTAGCTTGGCTCTTCTTTGGTGGAAGGACATCCCCAGGATTGACGTATAATTTGTTGATAGACTTGGTGCTTGTGATATTGGACGGTTGATGACATTTATGTTTCTTATGCAGATGATGAATGATGTTTCTTTTCTCCAATTCCTAGGGGTTACAAAACGGGCACTTAAATAGAGTAACATACTGAGCGTGGAATTTCCTCCAGTGTTTCCGATAAGTAGATAGAGAGTTAAAGTGCCTGGAGTCAGGACATGACTGAACTCTACATGACATCCCTCCATCTGGAACGCAGCATTGTTAAGGCTTGAATTAGGGGGCGGGGCCTAATTTATACGGGAAAAGTTTACTGTGACGTCACACAAAAACATGACTTTTATGTATTTCTCATAATACCTGAAAATGAAATAATTTGCAACTTTTAACTGTATTAGCATAATAAACAACAATAAAACTTATCAATGCATTAAAAAACGTTGCTAGGTAAATCCCGTGTAGCTTGTTTTAAACAAAGCACTGATTGCGATGAACTTGTATATATGACGTCATTTTGGTAAACATGACGTATTTCATGTACTGTGAGAGGCAGATTGAGGAATTATTTAACAATGAAAAATGCGTTTTATAATAAAACGGAATATTATTTACAAGTTTTAAATAGTCGATTAATACCAATGTAGATCCTTTGTTTAGAGCGATTATTCATTAACTTTCCAGAGAATGTATTTTATTAATTATGTCGTGTTTTTATGTACAGGTTACGTGTATTTTACATTGAGATGCAACATAAAATCATTCTTTCGCAAGGGCATACACTGCATGGATCTTTATCATTTTTTTAATATAGATAAAGGATATTATCCTTAACTGGAAAAGTGCTGCTGCTTTCTTTAAATCGAGGGCGTGATTTCATAAGTACACAAAATATTTGGAAAAAGTCTAATATTTTTTGACATTGGCCTATTTACTTGAAAATTTAACTATTAAAACGCGAATTCTATTCAAAGCAGCAGCACTTTTCAGAAACTACAAAGTATGCAGAAACAATTAAAAGCTTGAATTTTTAATTTCAATTAGGGTATGCCCTTGCGATATTGAAATTTGTTAATGACCTACATTCAGTACACGTACTATGCATTCATCACGTGACTGTCCATCGATGGGACTAAACTTCATACAGTACACAGTGCGTAATACTATGCTATTTCCATAGGTATTTAAGTTCTGTGATAATAAAACAGCTTAATTGTAATAAATTCAATTAAAAATAAAATCCCCCTTTTTGCACATATATTTTCCGTTGATTACTCATAGTAGGCCTTAACAGTGCTGCGAAATTCCTCTCTTAAGTCATCATTGAGGCCCAGCATTTCCTGTACCTCAACGTCTATAGTGAGTACGTCCATTCTATTATATTAAGATAAAGAAATAATAAGTAAGTAATATATATAAAATCCAGGAAAAAAATATCTGAAATATAAAGCAGACTACTAAATGCTGTCAACAGAAATCATGAAACCCATCGAGTTGCAGCCCCAGTCCCTACAGCAGAGTTTGCAGAAAGAAATTAACTTCGCTACACTTCCGTACTGGATACCTTGCAATAAGTGTACCCCTGTAGTTCGGCAGAGCCACAACCCCCTCTAACAGCAGGAACCTAACCCCACTGCCCTTTGGCATCTCGAATTGAGAATCATGACCCTGGGGCGAATATAGATTCTAAATAATAAAAGCTTGTCAGAACACGACCGACAAGGGTAGTACAATATTTAAACACAATAAAACCCCAATCCCGCAGTATTGGCAGCTAATCCCGCAGTATTAGCCTAATATTGTACTTTCACCTATTTACAGACCAATTCACAGCTCATGAAATGGCTCGAACCATATTCTAGTAAAATTTATCATTATTAATTCATCGAGAACAACAGTATTGATTAGTACTGTCTAATCAAGATGTAAAATTTCTCTCATTAATCCTGACAAATTTTATTTTAACTAATGATCTGTTTCCTGGATATCCTGGACTTCATCTGACAAATGAGTAGATGTCCATATAAGTTAATATGATAACTGAATATCTTAAAGTTTCAAAGAACGGAATTGTGAGGTTAGTAGTAAGTAGTACAGTGTACAGTCACTTTGCAGTCATGATGACGTCATGGGGTTTTCCAGACTCCACCCACAGGTCATAATGTGGGTCACAGTCAAAGGGCGAGTTTACAGTCACTGACGTCATAGGGTATTAATTCAACCACACCCACAGGTCATAACAGAGGTCACGGTCAAAGGGTGAGTTTACAGTCACTGACGTCATAGGATAATAATAAAGGTCACAGTCAACAGTGAGTCTACAGTCAGTGACATTTATAAAATATACCAATAGATACACCCCAAAATAGGTGTGTAATGTTACACCCAAATAACAGATATCAGAGGTGCCCTATGATATCAATAAAATGGGTGTGTAAAGTTACACCCAATGAACATCCTATAAAAATGGGATGCTAACACCAGCATTTTCACCAGTCATCACACAATCAGACCGTTTGCCCAACAATAATTTTTACGATCATGTAAGTCATACCATTTAAATACCACGATCAAACATTTTTTTTAAATATTTCATGTATCAAGTCAAGTAATTTTTATTTATAGTCGGTACATATATACAATTCAAACAGAAATAACATGAGCTGTGGTGAGCTCTTTAACCGACTTTAATGTATGAAAAAGACGGCGTTACTATTATTTGAGTTGTGAAATTTGCTTTTAAGGAAATCTTCAGATAAAACAAATGATGAAAATAAAATGGTAGATATAATTAAAAGTCAACAGTTTGTTTTCCATGAAAAGTTTCTTTTATTCATGCAGTACTTAGAAGCAAACTTCATTATTTTTGGATGTGCTATAAACAAAGGAAGATAACTCCGATTAACATAATATTGTGACAGACAACAACAAAGGGTTTTGTGCATTGTTGGTAAATGTACTTTTGTTTAAGATATACTTTATTTTAATTCTTAATTTGTAAAATGTCATTATCTGTTTATGAATGTAATAAATACATTAAATACATGATATACATATATATTCCATCGAATAAGTTCTACAATAGTTATAACAACATTATTATTTTCTAAAATCCAATCTGCTTGCATAATCTTGCATATAATTAATTAACGTGGATGTTTGTAAAAGGTCGACTCTCATGGAGTCGACCAACTCAGACAGTGCTAAGAGCTCCGGCTGCAATAAATATTCATGCGTTGTTGGAGCTGGAAGAAATAATTCAGGAGACTGGGGGGAGTAATCAATTTCCTGATTTGTTGAATCCTCATCTGTGGGTTTGGGGGTTGAGATGGTCGAGTTATTTGAGATTTCCTCTGTTGGTTTGGAGTTTGGAGTTTCATCAGAGGGTTTGGAGTTTGGAGTTTCATCAGACGGTTTGGAGTTTGGAGTTTCATCAGAGGGTTTCGAAAAAGAGGGTTCAGAAGAGGTTATCATCTTCAGTTCGAATTTTTGGAATTTTTCCGGGAAATTCTCTCTACAAAAATAAATTTAATGAGAAAAATTACACAAATGAAGTATATTTTTAAAAATTAAAAAAACGAAGTAATTGTGGTCAATAACACGCACATAAACATCCTCTCACACCCTTAACCCGCTCTCACACACGCATATATCTATATACCTGAATGTGGAGAGGATAAGGTTCTCATCGCTCAATCTCGGCTTCTTTGTCTGACTGAAAAACAACAGGGTAAAATAAGTAATATGTCAATATATAAAATTTACAATGAATAAGCATTTGTTTTATAGAGACACTAAAACTATAAATTATTTTTTTCATCATAATTATAATTCTAAGTCAGTAAAAAACAATAATATTTACAGTGTGATTTATTAGGAAATCATTGCTTTTAAAAAAATTGTATACCTTGTCGAAATTAATACTTTAATCAATTTATTATAATACATGAATTTGAAAACAGTGTATATAAATCATACAATATACATCATTATACCTTAGTCCTTCACAGGAAAAGTCCACTTCTCGCTTTCTTTTTCTGTTTGTGTTTGTGTCCTCTTTACTCATTAAAATCTCTACAACATTAATTTATATATCAAGTGTAAGTCCCATCTTTTTATTCCTGGAAATCAACTCTCATTTATGAGGCATTGAATATGTCATTAATTACCCTTCATTAAACGAGGCAACCGCAAATTCCTGATCACCGATCCACTCTGTTGTGAAATCGCCAAATAGGGGGGAGTATTCATTATCTTCGTCTTTTACAAAATTTCTATAAAAAATATTTGGAAATAAACGTAAATTTTTTACCGTTATATTTTTTTTACAGTGACAATGATAATCATTAAGTTGTAATCTCTAGCTGAAAGCAATCAAATCATTATCATTTTGTAAAAATTCTTAAGAAACCTATATAGTCTTAAAATATACAGAGATAATGTGATCCGTTTTTTAAAGATATCTAATTGAATTTCTGAATTTAAACGAAAACACATTGAATTCATTTTTAAGAAGGAAAAAAATCACCAATACATGTACTTGTTTGGAATAAATAATCATCGAATATACCCAAGAATTTTGAAGGAAAGGGGGTACCCTAGATTACTGTGATATGTATATTAATAGAGAAAAAAGAAAATAGAAAAAAAACTTTAATAACAGCCAAGTGGCATAAATTAAAAAAAAAATGCATAGACCTTTTAAAGCCATACATGGCGTATGTACAATGAAAATTATTAGACTAAAATTATGAGAACTTATTATTTGTATCATTTCTTTATATAAAGATAGAACTTTTCCGTAAATTACGAAATCTAAGTCAATTGCGTCATAAAGATATCACAATTTAATTTGGATTCTCGGAATTTTCTCCGACTCGGAAGAAAATACAAAAGATTTAAAAAACACATTACGGAGAAGATAAAATCGTATTTTTAGATGAAACGAGGTTCCCCGTGTTTCAGAATTGTATGAAAAGCTTTAATTTAAATGAATAAACTATGTTTCTTTACTTAATTTTGCATTTTTCAAAAATATATTTTTTGATCAGTTACGCCATATATGGTTTTTTGAAAAGTCTAAACATAGTTCCAAACAAACACATTTTTAACTTTAAGTAAAATTACTTACTTTACTTGATTTGACTCAGCCATTGCAAAATAAACTCTGCTTTATTAATGTAGATGTCACAAAATTTAGGAAGGTATGGTGGACAGATGGATATGTATTAACTGGCTCCCTTTATATATACTTCTTTTTTTGGGCGCTTTTAATAATTATCTATATATGTTTGTTAAGATTTTCTGGCGATTCAAAAATGTTTGTTTCAAAAGGTCAAAAGTTTGGGGGAAAAGCACAGACGCTAGCAAATAATATTTCCCGCCAGGTCCAAAAGGCACTTTTTGCAGAAATTGCGCCAAAACTTAATGTCACGTTTTCGACACCCTTGCTAGCCTTCATTAAAACGCGATAAGAGATAGCTATTTATTTAACCTCATTATGTTCAAATGCAAACTGGACAAGAGCTAGATATTATACTTGTATGTGTTATCATATACGATATAGGTACAAGATGTCCTATATACTTTTGGACACAGGTACCGGACGTTTTTTCTTTTGATAAAAAAAATATACCCCCAACCTAATAAAACACAGGGGTATTTTTTTTTTCTTGGTACCCTTAGACCCTTAGTATTTATTTCGTCAGGTATAATATTTAGAAAAAACTTCATCATAACTGATGTACTTACTGGAATAATTTTTGATTGAATTTAAATTGATATAAACTGGTCTAAAGTACTCTTGTATTATGAATGGAAATGGTAACTCAATCTACATTATATGTGCATCATATGTATTTGTACAAACTGAGGCACAATGATTTAATTGTCCTTTTATTAATGCGTAATTATAATAAATGTACCAATGCCTGCTGTGGACCCTTAATTCCCCCCCCCCCCCTTCTCTTATCATTTTGATTTGAAATTATTTACACCATTTAAAGAATTGGGCATTTATAGCTAATCTATATTTCAACGGGCCAAAATTTTGTTATGTCTGCAATAAAATGTAAAAATAATCATGTGTCAACAACATGTCCGAAAAATGCGCGCGGCGACCTTTTAACCTCAGTGTACAGTGTCGGTCATCCGATGTCACGTGAATGCAACCCCCGGGATATCATATACCCAGTTGCAGAAGCCATGTACGGTTCACAAATCATCTTTGCAATTTTTGCACTCGTGGTTCAAAAGTCTTCCCCCTTACCTATAGAAAGAGGAGTGAAATTGTGTTATTTACCATGTAGAGAAGTCCGTGTGAATGCTAGTGAAATTCGCGAAGTGTTTGTCAGTAATTGTGGACTGACCAAAGTCACGATCCTGGGAGATCCGCGAACTGTCAAGGTCCGGGACTCTAGAGGACCATGTGGTAAGTTGAAACACTTTTATAAATACATGTTTAATTTCTTTCCCATGATGTTTTGCAAGATAATTTGAGAATTATGTTCTCGACATGTGTTCTGCAACGAGATAAATCATTATCTGTTTTGTGACACTCATTTTCGCGGGGAATGAGAGCTCGAGAAAAAAAAAAAATCGATGTTAATTTAGTACCCCTTCCGAATACACACTTATCTGTTGATTTTACATGGGGGAAAAAAGCACCGATGTTCCGATGTTTAAATTTAGGTCAGACTGATAGCGGGAAAAATGTATGAATGAATGTCACGTGACTAAAACCTCGTGTTTAGTGTCACATGACTTTGGGTAGCCAATACAATTGCACCAAATTTACTACGAAATATGTGTAGTAAATACATGTAGTACAAACACTTTATAACATTCCAGCTTTTTTTGTTTATTTTATTATAACTAGAGCGTTTTCATTGTGTTTTTAGTCATTAATTGAGGGAAAATGTATGACTCTAGGTCCGACATGATTGAAAATAGCTTGAAATAGTGTAATAAGTTACACATGTGAATGGATCGAGTGTTAAAGTATTAGGAGAATACCTAAACCAAATAAAACATTAGCAAATTTACCATTTCCTTTATAGCAATAGTAACATGTGCTTTTATAAAGAAAATTAAATGAAAAGTGTTGGTATCTATTTTTTTTAGCAGAGGAATTGACATTGACAACAACATCGTCTAGCACCACAGCAAAGTTGACAACAACGTCCTCTAGCACCACAGCAAAGTCGACAACAACATCATCTAGCACCACATCCATGTTGACAACAATGCCCTCTAGCACCACATCAGCGTCGACAACAACGCCCTCTAGCACCACAGCAAAGTCGACAACAACTCCCTCTAGCACCACAGCAAAGTCGACAACAACGCCCTCTAGCACCACAGCAAAGTCGACAACAGCATCGTCTAGCAGCACATCCATGCTGACAACAATGCCCTCTAGCACCACATCAGCGTCGACAACAACGCCCTCTAGCACCACAGCAAAGTCGACAACAACGCCCTCTAGCACCACAGTGAAGTCGACAACAACGCCCTCTAGCACCACAGTGAAGTCGACAACAACGCCCTCTAGCATCACATCTCATGGTACTTTAGATTGACTAAGTTAGCTAAACTGAAAGCTCATACATGTAACCCTTCTTCATGTTTATCATTTATTAATTTGACTTTTGTATTGCAGAATCAAAATTTGATGTCTTGAAGAGGTTGATTATCAACTTCAAAGAGGATGACGGAGAGACGCTATCAGATAAAGCCTGGGGTAATTCAATAGATTACATTATTCTGACTATATGTTGTGTAATATTAATTTTTGTGGTAATATTGTGTAAGAAACAAAGCAGACCATGTTTCCGGCAAAGGAAACAAAAGAATATTGTTTATAAACCAAAAACTACAACAATGGGTGATCTGAGTTTTAGAAATTCTATTTTTAGAAATGATGTTGAAAATGGTGATGATGAGGATGAAAGTTTAAAAGATTACAAAAAACTTTTAATTTGAATCTGGAATTTAAACAAAGTCAACCATTATTTAATTTTTAAAGGTTTATTCATTTTTTAAAATGTATTTTAGGATTTTTAGCATGGGCCATAGCCACTACTCTGGCTGTAGGATTGATTGTGCTAAAAAAATGGCTTAAGCATTTCCTACAAAAGCACTCTGATACTCCTCCAAGCACTCAACCCTCCACCGAAACCCCTACATGTACCAACCCTAACCACAGCCAAATCCCTTTGATTCAGCACACCCCTGATTCACAGGCTACGACACCTTCACCGATTTCAGAATGCAGCATTACAGTGGAACCAGTTGCCTCTAGAACCAGAATGAAGTGTACAAGGGAGTTAAAATTATTCTAAAAGTGTGAAAATGTTATTTTTTTTAAGAAGGAAAGTACTTTTACATCTTAATTGTAAAGTATACTAGGCAAAAGTTTGTAAAAATCTTTTTTTGTAATCTAAAAAATCATAACTTTTACAGTTAAGATTATGTTGAGCCAATTTTTTTTGGTTTTAAATACTTGCAAGAACATTTTAAAATACTCAGAAAACTGTCTCAGGTAAATAGTTGATTATAATCTAATTTCATTATTTTTTTAATGTCGAAATCAAAAAATGTGTAGCTTTCTTTTTTTTTGTAAAACGATTTTCTACTTATTAATACTCAGATAAGTATTTTATCATTTATTTCAGCATTAAAAAAAAAAGTCAGTCTTGACTATATACTTCATTGTAAATGTATGGCTGAAATTTTTGTGATGCCTTAAAATTTTGTTATTTTTAAAAACACCTGTACTGCTCAAATGAAAACTATCAATTTTATCAGTATAACAAAGTTTTCAGCACAGTTTATAATTTTTATTAACATTTGTTAAGACATGCAGGAATACCAGTGATATTTTAAAAATTAAAAAAAAAATGTTTTTCTTGAGAAAAAAAGAAAAAATTAGCTTTTTCTTTTTTTGACAAGCATCAGTATATATATATATATATATATATATATATATATATATATATATATATATATTTTTTTTTTTACAATATAAGGTTGTCCTGTATTGTATTTTATTTTGAAGAATGGAAGTGTTATTTTTTGACAAGTATTAACTCAAGACATAATTTGTTCATCCTCATCTGCTTAGCTAAACCATATAGGCTAATAAAAAAAAAGCTGGTGTTTTTACTCATGGGGTTGTAAAGAATACAAAAGAAAAAAAATGTGACCTTAAAACTTATTTTCTGTAGTTATTTGTGATCAGTATTCAAGTTTATATTTTACATTAAGGAGAATTAAGATTTTGTATTATTTTCAAATTACTTAAAATTCGTAATACAACATACTTATAGGTTGTAAAGGAAAATGTAAACTTAAGAATAACATTGAAGAATTTAAAAAAAAAACTTAGGTCTATTGTTAGAAAATTGAGATGTTTTGTAATATTTTAAAATTGGGTGTTTCCTTTAATTTTTCAAAGATAATTTAAAAGAAGCTGGAATTTATCGTATATCTTTTTTTTTTTAAAAACTACATATGAGCTAGGAAAGAGCTATTTTTTTTTTTAGTTTTTAAGTTTGTATGGGAACAAGGTAGATAATCTTGTTTTTACCAACATGAGAGTTTACATTTTCGAAAAATTGAGTCGTTTATGTTTTTAATTGAATTTTTCAGTTTTTTTTATTTTTGAAGAAGAAGTAGGTACTATTATTATTCTTTTTTCTTGTTTTGTATATGTGGAAGGAAAAACGAAATAGTGTTTTTTTTTTCAGAGAATCTTGTATCTCTACAAGAAGAGATTTGCTGTTTTTATATTAGATAATTGGTTTTTTTTTGTTATTTGGAGAGGCTTTTTACATTCACATTGTATTTTGGAGTGAGGGTTATGATGATTGTTGATTTTCATGATTGTTGATGTAAATATTCTCTCTCCGGTGAAAAATAGTAGGTCGAGTGTTAAGTGTTTTCATGATTGTTGATGTAAATATTCTGTCTCCGGTGAAAAGTAGTGGATAGAGTGTTTAGTGTTTTCTTTTTAAATAAAGTGTTACTGATATTGCATTTCTTTTGTTTTTATTATCATATTCTTAATCTGAACTAGTCCATCATGTTTTTTTTGAAAGATGATTGAATGGAAATACACAAAACTTTGGAACATAAGTGGCGTACATATTTACAACACCCTTTTCCTTTTTTGGGGGGGTTGGGTTGGTTGTCAACCATATTTTTTTTACGCCAGCTCTCGAGGAGGAGAGGAAGTCTATAACAATGACTAATAATGGAAAATCTATACATTATGTTGTAAATGGTGATAACTTGAAAACCGTTGGAGATGTGGGTTCTTCAGATGTATATATTGAGTGTCACAGTCAACAACATATATGGTTCATTAGATCTGATTCCTGGGGGATGGGTCATCCCTACCCCCTCAGGAATAGGAAATAACTAAATATGCACAAAAGCATTGAAATCCTCACCCTTAATCCATGTTATTTATTATTGTTCCTAGTGTAATAGGACATGATAAGGTGAGATGCATTACTTTTTTTATAGGTATATGTAAAAAGTCATTCAACTGTGATATACATGATGGTTTTCTATAGAACATAGATTTGTTTTGTAGAAATGGCTGAAAACGGTCTTTTAAAGGAGATACTTGACACATTAACTGACCCAGATACTGTTAAGTTGTTTGCGACAGTCCATGGGCTTGTTGGTAATACAGAGGTGGAACACCGATTGAAGGAATTGGAATGGAGTGAGCACATTGAAAACCTATGGCAGGAAGTTCTCCCGTCACTTCAACCCTCATTAAAGAGACTTCACGATGGTAAAGATGATGATAATCAGCCGTCCACAAGTGGACATGAAGTTCTTCCGACTTCTGAACCACCTCGAAAGAAACAACGACACGAGGTTCTTCCTTTACCACAATCTCTTTCAAAAGACGATTACAACCCCTCTACAAGCAGACAGTACGGAGGCGGAACGGGTTCTGAGTCCAATGATAAATCTGAGAAACCCTACTATATCTGGAAAAGGGACGTTCGGACATTTAAGAAAAATCTGGCCCGTGACACAACATTTAAAGTTAAATTCAATGAAGAATGGAGGGGTGATAAATTGATAGATATACAAAACAAATTACATGACATGTTCGACGACCTATTGTCCCAGGCCAAGGGGCATGATGCAGACCTGGGAAGGGTAGTTCTCAGTCATCCAAGTTTAAATAACCCAATCATTGTACCTTTACAGTCCTGGGAACAGCTCAACGCAGACGTCGTCATGGGGGAAATCACCAAAGTGTTGAACTCTAACGAAAGTTTACCGGTAGATGAAAACCTACTCGTCACTGTCGGGTCTATTGACATACCTAAAGGGGGAGGTAACCCTAGAAAACTACCCATAACATCTCTTTTTGGCCCACAAAATAGCATAGAAAGAAAAAGATCACTCTTTCATGTGCAAAATGACAACAAACTATGTATGCCTATTGCTATCGGTCTGTGTTTCTTAAAAACATGCAAGAAAGTTGACGCAGTAAAGTGGAAACATTTAGTGGGAAATGATGTGGCAATGGTGCTGGACCATGCCATAAAACACAGAGTGGTTCCTCAGACGTATTACGACAATATCTTGAAAATTTCTAGAAAAAAAATGCAAAAGGATATGGCCACGCGTCTGTGTGAATGAGCCGGGGTACCTATCAACAGGTATTTAGGCCTGAATGACATCGAACCTTTTGAAAATCTACTTGGTGTCAGCATCAACGTGTTGTCTAATCGAGTAGGCAACAAATTCGTCAGGGTGACAGATGACCAGAAAAAACCTCGACTTTATCTCTATCATGTTGAGTCAAAAAATATTCAACACCGGCACGGTGTTGCCAAAATAC